ATTTTTACATTGTAGGACAAATATTTTACATTGTAGAGTAAAAAAAAGTGTCCCACATTATGGGTTAAAAAAAATTAAATATTCCACATTGTGGAGGGCAAAAAATGTAAATAATCCACAGTATGGGGTAAAAACTGTAAATATTGCACATTGTCTCCTGTGTGTTTTCAGACCACAGAAATCATCTATATATATATATATATATAAATATAGCACAATATGTATATATATATTATATTATGTATATTTTTTTATTATTATCATATATAAAATATACAAATGTGACATGCGTATTTTTACACACACATATTTGTAAATACGTTTGGTTTATTCCCATTTTGGCACCACGGCCCTTCCGTACTAAGTTACAGCGGCCGGTGTCCTTGGGTTTACATTGGAGGTTTGTCCCGCCTCCTGGCCCGGTAAACTCCCGTGATTGGCTGAACGTCGTGACATTTTCCGTCAGACGTAACATCCATGGTTTTGATTGGTCGACACCTCCTGGGTCATCCGTTGTTACCGCCCTCATTCCGGCAGAGGACAGGCTAAAGATGGCGACGTCACTGAGGTGCTTTCTCCGCTCAGGAAAGGTTGGAAACGTTTCAAATATCCTTCCAGGCGTCGTTTGGTTCTTGTTGACAGCTAACGCCAGTGCTGGTGTCTGTTTCCCCGCAGAATGCCGTCCTGGTCCTGGGTCGGCGGGGCTTTCACGGGAGCTCTCCGGCCGCTGTGCAGGTCAGTGTTAGCCGCTACAAGCTAGCCGTTGGCTAGCCGTTAGCTAGCCGTTGGCTAGCTTGTTAGCTAGCTGCGGTGATTTCTGAGGCATGGGAATGTTTTGATCCAAAGGTCACAGTCTGTCCGGGTTAACTGAGTGTGTTTCTAAAGTTATGGGCCACCGGGGAGCGACTTTATCTTGTCATTTGGAGCTGTGGAGGTCACTGGGGACAGATGCGGGCTGCTGTGTAACGTCGGCCCGCATCTGTGACAGGTGTTAGCCGCTGTTTGATGAAGCCCCCTCTGGTGTTAGAACAGCTGGAAACCTGAATCTGTTTGGCTTGTTATTTATCATTTTCTATCTAGAACCACACATTAGGTCGTTCAGTCAAACTGAGAGTTAGAAATGAGTAACTATTCGCTTGAAAATCACTTAAAAATAGAGAAAAACTAAATAAAAAAGGAGGCAAAACTACCAGAAATAACCCAAGTTATGTATTTTTATATGTAATATATTCATGGTTGGGAGCTATATGATAGAAAAAAAACTATTGAGGAAGATCAAGTTGATTAGTTTAAGTCTTTTTAGTGCTTTTGTAATTAATTCAAATTAGTGTTATCAAATAGGAAACACAGGATAACTTTAGAAATGAATAAAGGGTTGATTTTAGTTCTTTGTTTGTTCATTTGTTGGATGCTACCGGCAGCAAAGTGAGCACTAAATCCTTTTAATTCCAATTAAAGTTGGTATCTCATCAGGAGCCATGTTTTTTATGTCTTTGAAGACTCAGTCTGACTCCCTGGCCTTTTTTAAACTGTAGATAAACAGCACATGCTTATTTAAACATTTGTTTTCATGTCCCTTAAATGTTTAGGAAATCGTTTACACTTTGTATTACATTTCAAAATATCAAAATCCTTCAGTTTTGAAACTGTTATGAAGTAAAGCCGAATTGAAGGTGATTGAAGGTGAAGGGAGTTGGTTTATTTATGGTGTAAACTAATTATTTAGTGACTCAGCACATCTGAATCTGTTGCTTTAGTTTAGCAGCATCTCATATAGTCAATGAGATGAGCAAGAAAACCAAAGAATTGTTAGATGGTCCTGCGTTTTTAAGAGTCTAATAGTTTCTGATGGAGAGAAAAAAACGGCTTTAGAGGATAAGAAGCTGCGTCTCTGCTGCCAGGTGACGGTCCGAGATGCCCTGAACACGGCGATGGACGAGGAGCTGGAGCGGGACGAGCGCGTGTTCCTGATGGGGGAGGAGGTGGCCCAGTACGACGGCGCCTACAAGGTGAGCGGGGGCCACAGAAAAGCAGCTCCAGGCTAGAGATGTCCCATCCAGCTTTTTGCACTTCCGATACTGATCCCGGCATGTATTAAAGTTTAAAGTTATTTATTTACTTCCTTAGTTGTCAGACTCATGTTGAACAGGGATTTACTCTGATAACAACTTAATGGTTAGGGCACACACCTGTGGGTTAGCAAATGCTAATGCTAAAAAAACAGGATCTTGATTCTGGATCTGCATTTTCTCCTGCCGGCCGATACGCAGTTTTTTGCAAATATCAGCAACCAATCCGATCCAGATATCAGATGGGGAAAAGCCTATTCTGAGCAGCTAATCCAAATCACAGCTCAGAGTCTGTAAAAGGACCCGATAACCGGTGGGAAGTGTCCTTTTGTAGCGACAATTACAGGAAAAAAATGGTAAAAGCTTTCTAAATGTGTGGACTTGCTATTTTTTATGCAATTTGTTGCCTGTGTTTAGTTTTTTTAAGTTAATTTCTGTCCCTTTAACCACTCCTTTTAACTCCTGGTGGCGTGTGCAGGTGAGCAGGGGTTTGTGGAAGAAGTATGGAGACAAACGCATCATCGACACTCCGATCTCAGAGGTGAGACTCAACTTTAGCCAGTTATGAGCTAATTACCGTGTTTTACTTTAACCAGTTATAAGATACTTATAGTTTACTACTTAAATCAGTTATAACATACTTTTTGTTTACTACTTTAACCAGTTATAACTTATTTTGCTTACTTCTTTTACCAGTTATAAGCAACTTTTTTTTCCTACTTACTAAATCAGTTATAAGCCACTTTTTGTTTACTACTTTAACCAGTTATAAACTTTTGTTTCATACTGCTCCGTTTTTCTACATTGCACAGTATCCACAATCTGTTATTTGTATTATATTTATACCTTGTTTACTGTTTTTCCATTAGTTTTCTTTTGCACATTAACATATATTTGATAGTGTCTACTTATTCTCTTAATTTTTCTTATGTTAAGACTTTTATTTCTAATTTTTACTGTGTTGTCTGGGATTATGGGAGCAGAACATGTCTGAGTGTGTATTACAGAACTGAGCTTTATAAAAACTGTTCATTGTGGGACTCTTGTGTCCAGATGGGGTTTGCTGGCATCGCCGTGGGAGCCGCCATGGTGAGTTCCTCCTCCGTCCATTTGACCCCCTTTTTGGGCCTTTTACAGCCAAACCTCTACATCCGAATTTGATTATTTCCGGGACCAACTTCCTATGTTAGAATATTCGTATGTTGGTTCAAATACTCCCATCAGAATACACTGTAATTCCTATAATTCGTTCCAAAAACCTACGATGACTCCTTAATAAATACTGCAGATAATTATACATAGCAGTAAAACAAATGCAAAGAATGCTTATTTTTCCTCATCAGATGGTTATCAATTTTTATAAATTCATATGATGTGATTTTCTGGAATTTTCTTTGGGATTCTGTCTTTCACTGTTAGAACGTACATATGATTAAAGTTATAGATCGTTGCATTCTTTGTAAGTGGGCAAACCTGCTAAATCAGCAAGGGGTCAAATACTTATTTCCCCCACTGTATATATATATATATATATATATACAGTGATCCCTCGCCACTTCGCGGTTCACTTATCGCGGATTCGCTATTTCGCGGATTTTCATAATGCATTTTTTTTTTTTGGTGCATTGTGCTCTGCATTCTGATTCGCTAAAAACTCACTCCTGCTTATTGTATCAAAACATGCTACGAATTGTGCTATCATTTTGTCGTCTCGTGCAGTTACGTGTGCGTACATAAAACAGCTTAGCAAATTTACATTAAGTTGGCCAAATTATCTTGTAATTTCGAACATCTCCTAAACCCATAATGTCGACGAAACGGCCTGGACCGACACTACACGTGAGTCACTGTA